ACGATCTGTCCTCCACGTAGCCCCATTCCGTTATTCGATTACCTCGTATCCAGTGGCGTATCTAGTGTGGGGGCAGCTGCCCCCACTCAACCCCCCCCCCCCCCCCAACCCCCATATATATACGATAGTATATATTTAAAAAAATTAATTATACATATATTTGTATGCCGAAAATACATAATATATACTATAATGTCACTACTTTTTACAAATAGAACACTTTAGCCAAGCGGGAAGGAGAGTTCAGGCTGCCTAACTCATCCGTTAGGTCAGGGGTTCGAAACGTCATGCCCGCCCCTTTTGCTTGTTGTTCCCCATTTTAAACTTCCAACCATTATCTTCCATGTACCCTTTTTTAAACTTTTAATCAAATTTGAAGTGACTTAATGTATCTATAGATAATACATTTGAAGGTTACAATTAGGGAAACTATTGCCACATGTCAACTCCATAGTTATCCTTTTAAATTTAATTTCCAAATTAAAGGAAAGTAATCCTACGTACGTATTTCATATAGGAATTACTCTAATGTTAACCTATTATTTAGGGTCCTAACAAAATAAAATCCCAAGTTTTTTTAAAGTGTTATAACTTTTTCCTGTGTATTCTGATTGTTATAAAATATTTATCAAAATTCATAACTTTTTATTATCTTTCAAATGACACCCATATCAAATACACAAAAATAAAAAATAATTTAACACTTTAAAAAACATTTGTTTTATTTAAAATTATATAACTTTTTTATTTGTAATCTAATTGTTACAAAAAATATATCTAAAATCATAACTTTTTATTATCTTTCATATGATACCAATATTGATTGTATAAATTTAAAAAACATTTGTTTTTCAAAGTGCTGTAATTTTTTATTTGTACTCCAATGGTTGCAAAAAGTATATCAAAATTTATAACTTTTTAGTATCTTTTGAATGCTATTAATGTTGCTTATACAAAAATTAAAAAATTAGTTCTATTAATTTGTGCAGTTAAGGATCATTTTTTTACTATATAAAGATGAGGGTATATATATTACATGTGCAAGTTCGGGGTACTTAACTAACACCCCTTCAAAGGTTGGGATATTCAATTAATAGTGTGTACGAAAAAAGTTATGTTGGAACCATCATCATATAATTTTTCGAAAATGTAATTTTATAATGGTAAGCACAGAATGTAAGATTTACAAAGTATTTATCTATAAATAATACATTTGGAGGTTACAATTAGGGAAAATATTGCCACATGTCAACTCCATGGTTATTGTTTTAAATTTAATTTCCAAATTATAGCAAAGTAATCCTACGTACTCCGTTTTTCATATAGGAATTAGGATATTTTCTTTTGGAATGTTTTCAGTCCCAGACCAGATCAGACCAGACCAGACCAGACTTCCATAGTTATAAAATACACAAAGACCAAACGTTTACCAGACCAGTTCAGACCAGACCAGACAAGGCCAGACCTGCAAATTTATGTCCAAAAGAAAACATCCAACTCTAATGTTAACATATATTTTGGGGTCCTAAAAGTGTTATAACTTTTTCATTTGTGTTCTGATTGTTATAAAATATATATCAAAATTCATAACTTTTTATTATCTTTCAAATGACATCCATATTAAATACACAAAAATAAAAAATAATTTAACACTTTAAAAGACATTTGTTTTATTTAAAATTATATAACATTTTTATTTGTAATCTAATTGTTACAAAAAATATATCTAAAATCATAACTTTTTATTATCTTTCACATGATACCATAAAATTGAGATCATTTTTCATTTCTAAATATGGGGCATCTTTATTTTTTATTTTTTATTGTAAAGTTTTACATGTTTATGTTTCGGTTACTATCTAGCACTTAGCTTGACGTGAGAATCTTTTTATAGGTTTAATCATTTGCAACTTTCTACGTTCAATTATACATATTTTAAATCAATGTAATGAAAAATAAATCGACCGCTACTAATCGCGTTATGCAGCCGGACTGTTATCGCCACCATTACCTTCATTGAAATAAAAAAATATCACAAAATTATGTATTCTAATTAATTCTTCTCTTAAAGAAGGAGATAGAAGGACTAATTTGCTCAATTCTAAATCCTAGAAGGGCTAATATTTTAAAAAAAAATGACCACACCATTATTAAATAAATAAATTACAAAAATGAGTGGTTATAAGTTTTGAAAATACGGTGAGCTACAGATGAAATCTAATGGCTAAAAATAGGCATTGAGCAATTTTTTTTTGTTTATATAAAGATGTTTGAAAAGACGAAATTCAATTGGATGCAACAGAAGCTATTAAAAGATGTGCTTTTTTTTCAAAAAAAAAAAGATGTGCTTTTTTAATTGGATAATATATACTGACAACATGTTTAGATATTTAGTTAAAAATAAGACATACTCAATAAATAAGATTTTTTTTTTACTCCAGGGGGCATGTGGGGGAGGGTGCTGGGGGCCTGAGTAATTAAGACTGAAACCCACTCTATTGAGTTTCGAACCTGAGACCTCCCATAAGGGAGAGTGAGTCGGCGACCAGCTGGGCTAGATCGCTTCTTCATCAATCAATAAATAAGAATATACATTATTAACTAATGTTATTATTGACTAAATAAGTGACTTTACGTTAATTTTAATAAGGCGTATGTGACAATGCACGCGTACACACACATGTTAAAACTAAAATTAACCATTTTTTCCCGTGCACGGCACGGGTAAAAATACTAGTATTTACACATTTTAAGAGTTAAACTATATTTACACCACATGTCCATCGCTTATTTAAAACTAGTTATTTATTAACATAACATCAAAAAATTAAAACTTTTGTGTCATTTTTACTTTTTGAAATTTGTTAAGTACGTAGTATGATTTCATGTTTTTTTTGCCGAGTGATAGGTTTATTTATAATGAATTTTGTATTATTTTTGTTAAAGTGTTCAAGTGCTTGTGAAATACATGAAATAATATATACTCCATCCAGCTCAAAAAAATTTCCCGGATTGATGTGGATCGGATTTTCAAAAAGTGAAAATACAGTTGAAATGTATGATTTTGATTGAAGAAGAAAAATGTAAATGAATGTAAGTCACACAAAACTTTTCAAAAAGAGAAATGAGAAGAAATTTTTGAACATTCCAAAAAAACACAAGTGAGAAGAATTTTATGGGACAGAGAACGTAGTATGAATTCGCCCCCACTCACTTCAAATCCTGGATACGCCACTGCTTGGGGATATTCGACTGAACGATCAGCCAGCTGAATGCACATACGTGTTGATTTAAGTGGACCGAGTGCAAGCTTTTCATACAAAGCGTAAGGCATCAAATTAATGCTTGCACCCAAATCAGCCAGGGCCATATCAAAAGTGAGATCTCCTATAAAGCAGGGAATAGTAAAAGAACCTGGATCCTTAAGCTTCTTTGGCAGATCTGTTCGTATCACAGCTGAGCACTCCTCATTAAGCGTCACAGTTGCCGCTTCTTCCAGCCTCCTCTTGTTCGTAAGCAGGTCCTTCATGAACTTCGCGTACTTCGGCATTTGTGCTAGTGCATCCACGAATGGTAAGTTAATCTGCACTTGTTTCATGAGATGCAGAAACTTACCAAACTTACAAAACTTACCAAACTGGTCATTGTCAATCCCGCCGGATAGGGAAGAGGTGGGGTGTAATTCTTGACCAGAACGGGCTGTTTTGGTGCAGCCGCCACCTCTCTTCCTTTTCTTCTTTCAGGGCAGCAGGTACGTCATTAATTTCATCGGGCTTCTTTGTCATGGCAGCAGGTTCTAGCTCTTTTCCACTCCTCAAGGTGACTGCATGAACATGTTCTCTTGGGTTCAGCTCAGTTTTGCTAGGGAGAGATCCCTGAGGCCTCTCAGATATAGCCTTTGCAAGCTGCCCCAATTGATTTTCGATGTTTTGCATCCTTGAGTCCGCCCTCTGTTGATTTTCGCTAATTGTTTGAGCGTTTCTTCTAAGCTAGAATATTTTTGCTCAGCCTCCCTCTTGAAACTCCCTTGCACCGGCTGAGGTGCTTGTTACTGACCTTGAGGTGCTTGGGGCTGATTATAGTTCCTAGACTGCTGCTGTTGGTTTCCTTGCCCGTAATTCCCTTGTTGCTGCTGTCCGTAGGGCTGATTGTAGTAGCCCTGCCGCTGATAATACATCGCATCCACTTGCTCTACTCCAGGCGCTGCCGAGTGTGCCATCATAGTGCATTCATGTGGCGAATGAAGTCCCCCACACAAAGTACAAGAAGGACTAATAGGACCAGGGGCTACCATATTAACACTGGTTACCGAGAGAGCAAGATCCATCTTCTTTTGATTATCCTCCACACTGGTAGTGAGCTTCTGAAGCATGCTAGTCAACGTATCTACCCTCGCAGACAGGGCAGAATTATCACTGATCTCATACAAACCCGGGGCCTTCTGATGAGGTGTGTCCCGAGAACTCTACCATGATGCATTATTCGACACAATCTTCTCCACCAGTTCTCCCCCCACCTCAGATGGTAAGTGAGGAAAAGCTCCACCTCCCGAAGCATCAAACATCATCTTCCCTTCATTGTTGAGTCCGCTGTAGAAGCAAAATAGAATCTCACAGTCGCTCATCTTGCCTTGAGGGCAAGCCTTCTTAGCACCTTAAATCTCTTCCACGCTTCAGCCAATGTCTCCAAAGAACCTTGCTTGAAGTCTTGCAACTGCCTTTTCAGCTTTATGACCTTTGATGTCGGAAAATACTCTTTGATGAAGGCCTTATGCAACTGATCCCAAGTCTGGATATGGTGATGTGGATTGCTATCCAACCACCTATGCGCATCATCCCTCAATGAGAATGTAACACCCCCATTTTCCCTCCGAAAATAATACTTGAAATAATAGATTTATTGATAATAAACTTGATTTATTCTTTCAAAACAGATAAAAAGTTTTGCAGCGGAAATAACATTAATTGGGAAATGGGTGTTACCGCCACATCCGGTCATCTCTTAACCGAATGCACAGGCTATTCCAAAACAAAATAGAGTAAAACAAGTGTTCAACATAATTGAATTATAATTCTTGACTAGGTTTGACTAAGGCATTTCTAAACCGCTCTCGTGGTCATACAATCATCAGTCCACATAAGCATCATCACCTGCACAAATAAAGTGCAGAAAACAAAACAGGGAAAAGGAAACAAAAATTAGCTTTAGAGCTAAGTAAGTACTACCCAACCCCGTAAAATAATCAGGTTTGGCGAAAAATAGTTTTTCATATAATACTATATAAAAATGACACACTCCACCAAAATTCTTTTCTCTTTGATATTTCTCAAGATCACTTCTTTAATAAAGTCCTCAACTTTTCTTTGAAAATACTATAGTAACTCTTCTCTTATAATTCCTCAAAATTCACTTCTTCTATATCTTCCTAGTAATTTAGAAGGGCGGTGCTCAACACTCTGGTTGAGCCCGGTGGTTACGTTGTTATGTACGGCCACCCCGGGACTTTTGCCGGTACCACGACTGCTAATGGAAACGAAACGACTACCTTAAGTGTGCACACCCCCTAAAAGGGATTCCAAGCCCTCCGAGTAGTAAGTCGTCACGAGTAATCGGGACTCAGTCTACCAACTACCCCACCTTTAAAATTCTTGAATGATTAGGGACTACTACTACTATAACTTCTTCTTAAAAGGGATCATAGATCCAAATGTCACTTCAAACTCAAACTGTACTTCTTAGTAGTAGCAGCCTTAATCACCCTCCACACTTATCCGGATATGGAAAACCGACACCACGGATTTCTCCCGGGTGCTCACTTCTTATGAAAACGTAAATTTTATCTTGACTTTAGATATACTTCCAAAAATATTTCTCAATCTCTTTAAATAGTCTCAAAGGTATTTAAAAATATTTAATACCCAAAACTACTTCGTTTGCACTTCTCAAATACCATAGATCTAACATCTCCTCAAAATCACATACACATAATTCCAAATTCACACTAAATCACATAATAACATATAATACGAGGAAACCATTTTGGATCGGCAGAGAAACTTACAGTAGGTCCTGACGCTCCTAATTCTCCTCCTCTACTCGGGTCTCTAAATAATCACCTTTTTAATTAAGATGACATAATCAGTCACTTATTCTATTTGTAATAATTTACCCGATTTTTCTCTTTTATTATTCGAATTTAGGTTATCTATTAATTATTAGTTAATCGCTTTTATTAAGCTTACTTTATTTCGTAATCTAAGTTCTCATCTTATCTATTCATTTTTTTTAACTTGGTACTTTAGTTTAACCAAATCCAATATCCGAATTAATTTATACTCAAAATATTAAAATGCCCGAATTATTTTCATTATATCTTAATACTAAAACAGCCATTAAATTAATCTTCTCTTGTAAAATATCCGAATCATAAATGTTAAACATTCAGAATACTTATAAATATCTCCGAATAACGTTACTTAGTAATTAATTTTATAAACAGCCAGAAATTATTAATTCAACAGTTCTAAAATAGTCATATATCTTAAAATATTGTTTAATTCGTGTATTATTTTTAACAAGTTAATTGATCCATTATTATGTAGTTTCCCCGACTAAAAAATGACAAGTTTATCCAAATAATTATTATCAACTAATCAATTTAATTCCATCTTTCAATATTGCTATCTCAAAATATTACGTAGTATTAGCTTTGCCTATGATTAGTATTATTTATTATGGAGTATTATTCATTATTCTGGTTATGGTGTATTTCTAGGATTACTCTCATCCCCTCCGTATTATATTAATGTTTAACAACTAGTCCAATAGTGTAATAATTCACTTAGCCTGAGTTTGATAATAATTCACAGACCGTCTTCTTCGTTGTTCGAACACAGGAAACGCCGGAAACAATTGAAAAACGGTCAACGGGATGGCTTACCTTGGAGACGACGGACGGTTGGAAGGGCAACGGTAGGGGAGTCGTTCGAAGATGGAGACGGTCAATCAGTGGCGGCGGCAACTCTCTTCCTCTGATGCGAAGACCCAGTTCGGCAATAGCTCCCGCAGAACTCCGGTGAAGCTTTTCTACCTCGTTTCACGACCGTTTTCAACGATTCTTTCTCCGTTGGATTCCCCTCACGATGGGGAAGGTTTTTAGAAGCGTGTAAGCTCTTGTTTTTGGGTAAATAAATTTGCCGCAGCGTAGTATGATGAGTATATATGTATATATATATGACTATACGAGAGTATGACTAAGCATAGGCGTTGCTTGAGGTGTGGAGATGTTTAGTAGGCAGCTCGTGTATTTATAAGCCCGATCCGAAGCTCTAGCTTGCAAGTTGCTGAAGATTGCTTCGTTGCATGTGGGTATGCCGGTCGTTAGTCTCGCACGGAGCTATGGTACCCATGTATGTAGTATGATGTATGTCATTCTTGGATATATTATCATTATGTACTTGAATATTATTGATATGTATGTGATTGGAGGTCTATTATTATGGTCATTACATATGGGTTTGTTCGGCCAACTTCATGTGGGCATGTCAATTTGCATATGGGTATGTTCTTTATAGAATAGTCAATCGGACTTAATCATTCTAGGTAGCATTATAAGGCCTCCCATAAAATATTTATTATGTTACTTGGTCCCAAAAGGTCACAATAATATAATGGTTGCATATATTATCAAAGTTTGTTAAAAGGGCACTTTTATTTATTTATGTCCTATTTTGTATGTATAATTATTACTTGTTATAAACATTTTTACCTGGCTAAAAATGTCACCAATGTTATAATTTTATCTGCTTCATTTTATCAGACTTATAAAATTATTTAGTTTTTTTTTTTGAGTGTCACAGAGAAAGGGAACAATAGCATCCGTACCTGATCGTCATCTAGCCCAGGGATTTTGAATGTGTGACACATCCTCAAGAATTTGGTAATGTGTGCCACTGGATCTTCTGTAGGGCTCCCTCGAAACTGATTATTATATTCAAGACCATGTTGATCACCGCTGGCTTGATCTCGTAGCGGGGTGCAGTAATTCCCGGCACTTGAATGCTGTCATACTCTGTAATATCCGGAGTGAGGAAATCTGCAATGGTCTCTCCTTGATAGAGCGGGTTGTCATGCGGAACATAATTCTAGAATGGAGGAGCCTACTGTCTAGGCTGAATAACTGGTTGTGGTCGAATAGGTTGTGGACGGATGATGTTCGGTTGCGGTTGAGGCTGAACTTGGGGCTGACGAAACTGTTGAAACTGGTTTTGAAAAGGCTGAGTTTGCTGTTGAGTCAGGGGTGGATTTTGCGTGACTGGGGGTGGGTTCTGTCAAGACCGGATTGGATTGCCCTATACTTTGCATCCCATAAGTTTGGTTTTGAAAAGTGGTTTCAGGAGCAGTAGAAGTATTTTGGGAAAGCTGATATAGTGGTGGAAGATTCAATTGTGGAGTGGATTGATTTTGAGGAAAGAATGGGGTGCAGAAATTCTGAAATCCCGAGTAAATTCTAGGTGAATTATCGGGTGAAGACTGGGGAGAGGTATTGACATAGAAATCAAGGTTACCAGAAGTGGTTTGGACCTCAGACGTCCCAGCTGTTCCAGATGATGTAGATTCCATGGTCGCGTTCTTCTCACGAAAAGCCTTGCGGTTCTGTGTAGCAAATTTCTCAATCTCAGGATTAAGAGGGACAAACGATTCTCCCTTCTTTGAATGTGTATGCATAAACAGATCTGACCTGCAAGGTTAGCAGACAAAAATCCTACGAAAAACTAAAACAAGTCGCTGATATTAATTATCCTCAAATCCGACACCGTCCCCGGCAGCGGCGCCAAAAACTGATGTGTGTTTTCTCGCACTTAAAAATGATGTAATATAGTGGTGAAAAGTACGAGTATCGTCTCCACAGGGACGGACAAAAGGGAAATTAGAATTAACTAAATTCAGCGATTAAAAAGAAATAAATAAAATAAAAATGCAATTGTGCGAGATTGATTGGTTGGAAAATTAAACTGATGCAGATTAACGAATAAAATAAATGTGGTTTCTTTCTAATTAACGACGAAGGGAACAGAGATTGATTCCGGGGTAACCAGATTTCTGGCAGAACAGGCCTAATTACATGAAATTGATTTAATTGAGCCTAGCTAATTATTACTAAGTTCTTACCGCTCTCGCGGCGTAGAGTACAATAATTTAGGGGACCAGGCTGATCTCTCATGCGACAAGATCCTAAATTATTGCCAAGACTAGCGATCTTACGGCCCCTTAATCGCTACTAATCTCTTAGCGAACGATTAAGTGTGTGTGAATGTGTCTTAGAATAAATTAGATCTCTCTTAATTCATTTACAAGCAATTGTAATTCTAGCGCGCATTCTAGGTTACAAGAGATATCAGTTAAATTATTCAAACACAAATTAAACGGCATTCATGTAATTAAACCGACAAGAATCTAGCCATCAATCATGATTAACCCCTTCATCAACCCCAAATCCATAATTAAACTACTCACAATTCATAATTGAAGAATCAACAGAATTGGGATGAATAGAAATAATTGTCATTAATTAAAAAGATGAACTTACAAATAATCCCGGGGTTCTTGAAGAAAATAGCGTAAAAACGGTGTTGAATTCGTTCCTAGGCCTCTCCGTAATGTTCGTAACCTCAAAATAGGAGAAGGGAGACCTTATTTATAGAAAACAGATGAATTCGGGTTGAATTAGGACCGAAAACGGGTCCAGGCACGGCGTGCCCATGGGTCAGGCACGACCGTGCCTACGGAGAAAGCCCGTGTTTTCTCGCCTCGGGTCCAGGCACGGTGTGCCCAAGGGCCAGGCCCGGCGTGCCCGGCTATTCTAGTAGCCCGGTACATTTTTCTTCTGCAGGCACGACCGTGCTTAAGAGCCAGGCACGGCGTGCCTGCCTTTCCAGCGACCAGGTACGTTTTTAAACTGCAGGCACAACATGCCTAAGGCCAGGCACGACCGTGCCTGCCTTTTTGTTCTTCAGATCTTGTCTTTTCTTGCTCCAAATGCTCCCAAATGCTTCTTTGATCAATCCAAAGGCCGTTTCTTCATCGAATCTTCGTCGTGAACCTCTCGGTGACCTCCAAAACTCTCAAATCTCTCTCGAATGTTCGCCAACTCTTACCGATTGCCTCTCAAGCGCCGATTGCCGAACTCTAACTTCCTCGATTTGACTCCAAATGCAACAAAACTCGACCCAACGCCTGGTAATCACAACTTGAGCTAAAATTGAGTCTTGCAACGCCTTAAAGCAAGGAAAACTATCAAAATCCGACCCCAACATGCATCAAATGCGTGTTGTAATACGAACTTATCAATCTCCATCTCCATCTCCATCTCCATCTTTATCTCAATCTCCATATCAAATTTAATAGAATCTAATGAGTGTTCTTCTAGTCAAACGCCATGGAATCCGGCGTGCATGCCAGATTTTTATTTTTATTTTTTATATTTTTGTTTTCATATCAATTCATCAATTACATGCTTATGCAAAGTTCTTGTAATTTTAGTATCTAAAAGTTTTTATGCGGAATGTTTCATATAAAATCACACAATTTCGTATTTATGCGAAATTCCTATAGCTTTAGTACGTAAAATATAGTACGAAGTAGTATTTTTGTCATTTAGAGCATTTTTTTAATATATTATGCATCTTGCGTTCTAAACCTCATGATTTTCATATGCATGTCACATGAGTTTAGAATGCAGATGTCATGACGATAAGATGGAGTATATGGTCCCCTAAAATGCACTTGTCATCTTACTGAAATGCAATTTATATATATATATATATATATATATATATATATATATATATATATATATATATATATATATATGAACTTCTAAAAATGCACAGGTGATAATGATAAAATGCAACATATGATTTTCGAAAATTATAATGCACACGTCATAATGACAAAATGCAACGTATCGACTTTCAAAGTGCAACGTAATAGATTAATTAGATCAATATGACAACCATTATATAAATAACGCTCATATCATGTGACTGAAAGTGCAACATATGCACAACTAATATAGTAATATGCAGACGTTATAATTATGAAGTGATTAATTTCGTAAAAAAGGAATTTATTTCACAAATATTATCATATGTGTATGTTTTAATAATAAAATGCACATCTCGTAACCTTAATATGCAGTTGCACGTATGTTGAGCACTCATATGCATGTGAGTTGAGTATACGATGCAAATGTCATAACGATAAGATGCAGCATATGAACTTCTAAAGTGCACGGGTCATTTTACTAGAATGTAATATATGAACTTCTGAAATGCAACTTCGACATATTTTATCAATATGAACTTCTAAAGTAACTTATGCAGACATTATGAATATATGATGCACATCCTGTAATCTTAATATGTAGTGATATATAATGCATATTCTGTAAACTTAATATGCCTTGCTCAAATATAATAAATTTCTACTTGGTTTGAATAAATTAATTCCTTCATTCATTTTTTATTGAGATTATCCGTTGTAATCTTTTATACAACGATGATATGTTTTCATTGAGAAATATCCATTGTACTAGAGCGGTACAATGATGTTAAATGAGAATTATCCATTGTACTATAATGGTACAATTATGGTATATATTTTATTGATAATTATCCCATGTACTAAGGGGTCACATCGATGTTATTTCTTATTGAGAATTATCTGTTGTATTACCGGGATACAATGATGACATCTGAGTCGACTCGCATGAGATAAATTAAAATAGTGGATATCTATTCACCCTTAAAAGTGGTGAAATGATGTTTGAGAATGAAATTATTGACCGGGCTGAACTTGCAAGTGTACAAGTGCCGATATAGTAATAAATTCCGGTAAAATACCGGGTCGAATCCACAGGGAAACGTTGTTTAATTTAGTCCGCGAGTAGATGACTTTGAATAAGTAAATGAGTAAAGTGCAGAGATTTTGAGTTGTGTGTTGTTGTGAAAACAACAACTTGGTTCTTCTTTTTAATTTTCAGAGATATAACTTGAATTAATTTGATTAAAGTGATTGATAACAACAACTAAGGCTTCGGGAATCACTTAAATGTTTTAATAGGGTTGAATATTAGTTCTTTACCAATAATTATGAATACGATGTCACTAATATATTCTCATCTCCGGTTAAGGCAGCGAGAGCGTAGTTTTCGTTACGTGTAAGTCCCGTTACGGCTTACATTCATCTACCGAAAACCCCGTTGAATATCAAGACATCACACCCGTTTCATATAATACCGGATATATTTCTATTCTCGGTAATATATATGTTTATCCTTTAATGTTCATAGTTTAGACCTCAACGTTAATTGCAAGCATAAACTAAGTTTAACATACTTCTATGTTGTACACCATAGTCATAAACAATCAAAATGTAAAGGATAAATCACAATTTATTGGTTTAGAACTTTTATCAAACACCTAGTGGGCATAGAAGTTCATCCCTAGCCTTAGCTAAGAACTTAGCCTCTAATGCTCATATTAATTACAAAAGTGTAACTAAGATAAAGGAAATACAATAACATACAAGAAATAATACCTAGAACCAATTGTAGAGGAGAGAAATGGCTTCTTCTCCAACACTTCAAGAGAATGCAAAAATAAAATATAAAAACTGAAATTTAAGCTTCAAGGATGGATTGATGATCTTGTTTGATGAATTGGGGGCTTTATATAGGCTAAAGATTGGCATCTTTTAGTCTATTCGAGCCCAACAATTAGGCATGGAAGATATATTTGATCAGATCATGAAGAAGGTGAAGTTTTCCCATCAAAATATTGTTGCACGTTCCTTTGTATTTGCAGGATCGGACCTACCCGGCGCCGGGTTCAGGCCTACCCGGCGCCGGTTCTTCATTGTGCGCTGGGAAATCTGAAATTTGGACATACCCGGCGCCGGTTATAAGGCCTACCCGGCGCCGGGTAAGCTACTGGTTTGTGTACATGTGAAAATCAACAAACGGGCGCCGGTTTGGTGCAAATTCTGGCGCCAGTTTTGTCCTGGGATTTTGAGGATGTTCCGCTACGAATTTGGACATGATTCCTTCACCAAAGTTGTAGATAATGAAGTCTTCTATCCACTAAAACTTGAATGATGTGATTTTATTCAGCCAATCAAAGGATATGGTTAAAACACTGAGAGGTATGCATCCTGAAATCCCACCAGCAACATCTGACTTTTTTGGTTGATTGAGTCTTGCTCCTTTCATATTTTGGCCATGACGTCTTCATAACATTTGTACCTTATTGAGTTAGCATTCACATGAAACTCGAATCGAGTGATTTCGAGTTCTATAGAATACGTTATACTCAAATTATGGGCAGAACGTCATTCTCTTGGTCCAAAAAGTCGTTCATCACAATGTTTTATGATCTAGCTCTCATTCTGGAGGTATTTGCCCGATTTCTCTTCTTTTCTTCAACAAATACTTATAAATAATTATGTTAAACACAAGTAAATATAACGGCTATCAATTATCTCCATTGATTTTGTGAAGTTAGAAGGAATTAGCTACTCCTTTGACAGAATCCCTAGGACGAAAAATGATAACCGAAACATCGAAGGAAATGGGACTAGTGTCACTTTGAAACAAATGGGGATGAGAACCCAACTTGTGTGATTGGAGATCTGATGAACCAAATTCATATGGGTAAGAGCATCTCCAATAGAAAAGTGGATTGCACCCCATAAAAAATGGACCTGTCACTTGTATGAATTGAAAGTGACGTGGACGGACAGATCGACCATCAAAACTACATCCCATCTCCAACGGAGTCTTCATTTTTCTTGTATGCATTTTCTAAAAAAATAAATAAAAGGATTATAAAAGCATTTAATTTACTGCTCATACCTAACTTACGAGTTACGACTCGTCACTAATGAACCATTATACAAAAAAGGATGACACTCCATCCCTGAGGGCCCCCCAACACCGACCGGACGGCACGATGGGAGGATGTAAATTGGACTATAATCACAATCTGACAGATAGAGAGTGGGGCTCTGTCCTCGGTACTTGCAGAAGCCCTATGCATTTTTCAGCATAGTAACCTCTCATCGCAGTTGCCGGGATTCGAACCCGAGACCTAACCCTTGTGGCACTCCCTCGCTACCAGTTGAGCTACGCCCACCAGTAAAACTAAGGTATGGGTAAACTTTTTATAGTGACTAGCTCCACCGCTTTCACGGCTCCTTACCCCAGAAACCCAACATTGGCTTGGCCCTACGGGTTAGTATACACCGCTTGGCCCTGCCACTTGAAGGGTTTTTTGGGGAGCATAGTTCCACTGGTGCTAGTGGGACTCGAACACGAGACCTCTCCTGTGCAGTGGTAACCTCACAACCAGCTAGGCTGGAAGTGATGGTTTAATGAACCATTATACATATACTCCGTAGTACTTCGTATGTTTCTTATACACAAAAACCAGTCTGATCTCGGCCAGGGAGAAGAAGCGTAGATCCAAAACCGTCGTCATCATCATCATCATCCCAGCTTCTCCCGTCCAATTGTCCAAAGTAATTCGCAAAAACACCCAACAACTGAACAATGAACTTCTGATCTCTTGCTTTCAAAAAAAAAACTTCTGATCTCTTGAATTGAGCGGGGCCAACTCGTGTGTGCGGTGTGTGTGTGTGTGGTATATATGTATGTGTTCTGTGTTCATGTAAAACATTTTCAAACGGTGTTGAAAGTACGTAGGTAGTAGTAATCTTGAGCTCATTGAAAATATAGAGCCCAACCCTGCAACCCGGCCATCACTCTGTTAGAGGAAAATGATGATAATAATAATTAAATAATGTCGAGCTCATTGGCAAACGGTGTTGTGCTGCCGAAGGAGAAACGAGTGACAACAAAAGAAGAAACGAGGGACGGAGAAAAATGAAACAAAGCCCGTTGGTTTTACTTGCCGGAAAATTGAAAAGTACCCTTGGGTCTCGGAGGTGTTGGCTCTCACATAATGAAAGAAATGCAAGAGCCGAATTTTTAAGAATGATACTGCTGGGCTATGTACCTGTCGATGAATAAATGTGTGGTGGAAGTAAGCTGACCCGGGATTACCCCATAGCAGCTGATAATATCAAGGAAGGCACGATGCTAAGGAAAGCAAAGACTCATCTCCAAACTGGGAAGCAAAGGGAGGCTCCATTATATTTTGCCCCGAAGTAGGGTGAGAGCAAACGACAATCGGGCCGGCCATACCCGTCTCGAACTTTGAGTATGATAAAGCAGTCACCGGGACACCCCGAGCGAAGTCAGCCGAGAGATATAAATGAGTTTCCACCCCGTGAGAGTCTACGGGGATCTGGGACCGGCTCGAGCCTGACCCCTTGTCATCAGGATAGATGACGTTGAGGGGAATAGGTTCTGATCAAGGCATGAAACTAACCTGAAGAAGTGAAGGTTTGGAGGCGATCAGGATCCTCTGCCATAAGGCAGAGTGCCTTGCGGCATCCGACGGCGGGGAGGCGACCAGGACAACCTCGAGATTGGCAAAGGAGTGGAGCCCAACATCTTCGGCCGTCCAATTTCCTTTCGAACGGCCCGGAAGAGCCAGGCACCCTGCCTTGCTTTAAAGCAAGGCAGAGGCTCCGGATAGGAATTGATAGCAACTAACTAAAGGTATTGATATATTTATTGCGGATAATACGTAATAGTAAATATATAAATTGTGCTTTAATATGCCCCCGCAAGATGGAGGTTCCGTCAGAAACTCCCAGCTTGGACCAAAAGAAAAAAATGGAGAGCGACACAATGGTTTGGTCAAGACGTCAACTATCTGTAACTTTGCTGAGATATGCTGGATATTTAATTTTCCTTGTTCAATAAGATCCTGAACAAAAAAATAATCGAGAGCAAGTCTTGATCCGTGATGGGATTCTGAGCAAGGGCGAGGTCATCAGCAATTGCCCGCATCTCCATTAGGTAATTAGGAATGCTCCGGGAACCCTTCTTGGTGCGGGACAGAGTAGTTTTGAGGGATATGACCCGGCCATGAAATTGAGTTTATTTCAGGCTTGTTTGGCGGTGAGAGCTAATGAAATAATGGGTTGGATAGTATCCGAGCAACTACCAAGTAGTGCACTGATAATGGGTTTTGTTCTGTCGATAACAGATAGTATAACAAGAATTAATTTGTATTTTGACCATATCAAGAAATTGATCCGGTGTAGCAATGATCCCATCGAGGTAGCCATCAATGGAGGCTGAAACTCACTCCATTAGTTTCGAACCTGACCCTCTCGTAAGGGAGAGTGAGTCTGCGACCAGCTGGGCTGGACTGCTTCCTCCTATGTAAGATTATATTTGCAAGAAATATACTCCGTACTACATAGTATGAGTAATAAATAGTACTCCGTAGACCGTAATATGATCCGATCTCAAAAGAAATAGTGTAAAACAGAGCCTCATGAAGTTGCACATTTTTGTTGAGATAATGCACTTCAGGCAAAAACAGATAAAGTTCACTTTATCAATTTATTGGAAATAATGCCACCACATTTCCCCCCATTTTAGTGCATAATTCAATTTCAGAAAAGGCAAAATTGTAAAATCCAACACTCCCAAATCCCAATTCATCGAGAACAACAACCTTAAAACAATACTCCGTAACAAACTATATGTAATCATACTCATACCCCAAAAGCGTTACTCAAAATGTTATAACAAAAACTCAATGCAGGGCATTTAATTCTAAAATTCAAAATGCCAAATAATAGCATCCTCCAGAGGAATTGCTGCAATATTTTGCTAGTGATGGTGACCCCTCAAGCTTTTAGTACAATAACTTCCGTCCAAGGAGACTTTTTAGTGTTTTACTACTTCTTATGCAGGAACACACAACTGGCTACCACAGAGATGCCAACAACTGTGGCGGGGAGAACCCAATACTGTTTGGTGAAATCCATGACCTTCTGGGTTATATAGCTGCAACTGGACTGCTTCACAACGATCTCAAGTTTAGGGATGCTGGGACCAGATGAGGGATCAAGCTCCCCGATGAAGAATTTCTCCATGATTTCCCTTGCGCTCTTGCTATGCCCCACATCTTCAAAGTCATCTGTGGCATCTTTTCCTTCAACCAAATTCAATCCAAGTCAAACTAAGAACACCATCTTTTTTAAGAATACCAATTACACTGTTCGGTTTTATCACTGTTTGAGGCCTTTATATTAATTATTCCCCCTTTTGACCCTTTCATATGCAAAACTATATAGGATCTATTTGAATGAAGTGTTTTGGATAATTCTGGAGGTGAGTGCTTAGTATATATTACTACTACAATAATATTTGAAATTTTATAAAAATTGAAACATAACATGCTATCTTGTACTCCATCTGTCCGATATGAAGGTTCTTTGTGTGATTTACGATGTTTTACTGTGATAATGTAACCTCTTCCTTGATATAATTAAAGTACATATAATAATTACTGCATATTTATTTCCTTGATAAATATATATTAAGTCTAGTATATACCATTTATGAAACTGCGCAGAAGTTCTACTAAATAGCAAAAAAGAATTCGAAGACGATCAAAATCTATTATATAAAATTAAAGATTTGAATAGAGTTAAGTTGACCGTGTAAGTAGCTCATTGGAATGGGACAGAGATAGTAACATTTTAATTCGTCTTCAGAAACATTCAATTTATCAAGATAGGCCTTTTTCTAAAATCCACCATCCAAACAGACCCTTAGTGATGAGAGGACATGAAAATACACTGCATCAACAAAATCAAATCTATTTTACCGGTGACAGCTTGTATGACATCACCTCCACCTGGATGTTCATCCAAATACAATGAAACGTCATACACCTGGACATGTGGATTGTGGAATAGGTCAGCTCATTTGAAGTTTCAGAAATCTGTTCCCATTGTGCTTAAATGAGAAATTAACTGTAGGACAAATTATAGGCATGCAGCTAGAAGAACACACACAAAAAACAATGAAGAAAGACTTGTCTAAGAGGGCTCACAACAAATGAAAATGTGGTCATTAACAGGAAAGACAAGGCATGTAAGGAGCTTGCTTGGAGAATCCTAAGAAGAGTCAAACAATTACATGGAATAAAAGAGAATATGATTCACAAAAAGATTAGTTGTCAATTGTTATATATTACTCGTTGGAGCCAATATTGGGTTAAATAGAGCTAAAATTTGCAGGAGGATATTGCAGCGATTTGTCCTATAGGATTGGGCATCTATAAGAGCAACTTGCCACTTTTTCACAAGGAAAAAGGCAAATTATAACTTGTAGCAATTACATTTCATCCAAAAGAAAATTATACTTGATAAATACTACCAAGCAACACTGTTCACCACAAAATTCATTTAAATTAAAATCATTATATGTTATCTCATCTTGAATAGCATGATCCGATGAAAACTATCATTTTGGGCTGCACAGAACTAGACACCAATCCAGTGAACTGATTCAACAACCAGTTCACACAGTTTTCATCAGTTATCAACAGATTCAGACGGTTCTCTACCAGTTCACTCCAGTACCGGTTCAATAATCAATAGGTTGTCCTAACTCCATTATGGTTTGGTTTTTAATACCTTGGTTACATCCATTTTGTCCTTGTCTAAATATAGAATTTCTCTATATTTCGAGATGACATGTGAGCCAGCTAGTCACATGAGAACCTTTAAAAATAGGAAGATATGTTTTACTTGATGCAAAAAGTAATCAAGAATTCAACTCTGCTAACCATTTGAGCATGTGGTTACAAACACAAACCAAATTTCGTCGCCGCACATGGTGATTCGTAAAAAGTATGATGTGGCAATGACTCAACAACTTTAGTATGAAGTAAAAAGTGATTTCATAAGAATGACATAAGAGTTTACTCATTTACTGGAATTGGCTGAGTTAGCTCAATTGGATATAATGTTTTTGGTATTCAAGCTGAAATATGTTCTCATCGTGTTTGATAAATCTGGACTTAGGGACGTGTAAACATCACATTTAAGCTTAATAATTTAAACAATGTTCTTTCAGATAATTTACCAAACACTTTATGAGCACGTATAACAAGACAGAGAAAGGGAGTATGGTGTTCCCAATTTTCAGTTTTTCACCATTGGGACCAACTAAGCTACCATGCTGGCAGAAAAAGAACCTCAGAAGAAGAAAAAAATTCAAACAGGTATTTCGCCAACAAGTTAACGTGTCGTTCAAGTTGCCATTGATTGCAGGTCTTGTAAAAAAATATATTATCGAAATCAAACAATAACAGATTCAAAGCCACAACTTCACAAGTTCTTCGCTGGCAATTTTTGTTTGTTTGGTAACTTTTGAATTCAGATAAAATAGAATCAAATTATACCATTCAATCAAACGAAACATAGCAGAAATACTTATGCCATTAAATTCGAGTTTTTTGAAGTAGATCTAAAATATACGGAGTAGATGGAAAATAGTATAGTGGGACCTTGCCGCCAATAACAACCCAACAATCGTCCTTAGTATTGTGCTCAGCTGCTTCTGCCATTGAATATAACTTTGTTAGTGTTGGCATCTCTTCTTATTCTTATCAGATTCTTATGCCCTAAATTGCTCTGCGCTTCCTGTCGTTGTGGATTGAGATAGAAGCCTTGAGCCGAACTCAAACAGCTCAAAACGGATGGGTATAAATTTCCTTGCTGAAGTACTGGGGAAGTGGAGAGTTGTAGACTTGTAGTTGGGGCTTTTTTCTTCTGTAGAGTATTTAGTACTCCACCCATTAATAAAGTAAAAACAAATTTAGCCAAAGTTGTATTCCAACTAGTATTTGATACTATGATAAAAAAAAATAGTATTTGATACTAGTATTTGTGTAAAAAGGAGAAAAATAATTTTAATCACATATTTGTTGTTTTAAATGGAAATGATAAAATTTTTGTGGCAGTAAAAAAAAAATTGGTCAAGTTATATGAAGCGGAGGTAGTATGTACTCGGTGTTTTTTTAAAGGAGAAAATGAGCAAATAAGCCTCAAACTATTAATAAGGCTATGTTTGGCACACAAAAGATTCTAGCTTCTAACTTCTCTATTCTTTAAAAAGACCTTAAAAGACTCTAGTTGTATGTTTGGCATGACATTTCTTAAGAGCTTTTCAAAAATTAAAAGATCTTTTTTGATATGCTACCAGGTGTAGCATCTGAGAAAAGCTCGTGACTTTTAGTTTAAATTAGTCCTAACAGCTTGTATACCAAACCGAACTAAATCAAACAGTCAGCTTTTTACCAAACAGCTATCACCTTTTCTTTTTAAGATCTTTTCAGTCACTAAAAGCTAACAGTTACTAAAAAGCTCGTAAAAGTATCTTTTTAGCTAGTTGTGCCAAACATACCCTAATTCTGCAACCAAGCTCATGAACCGGAAGACATGTAAATACATCCTTTTTTGCCTTATGTAGGTAAAACGATAACTTTCTCATGAGAAATTACTGTCATCAGCATGTAAAAATGATACCATAACTTAATTTTTAATGAGTTGAGGCCTTTAGGACATATTTGCGAGTCTTCTGGTTCAAGGGCTGGATTGTCGAATTGATAATAGTTCGAAGACTTATTTGTCCTCTTTTTCTTAAAGAAACAAAGAAAAAGATACGCCTTAATGAGTAAATAGATTACAAATTGAATATATTTCATGCCAAAAAGAGGCATTACAATCTATTCAATCAATACATTAGGGATACCATGTTTTACTATCAAATGTTTGGATAATAATTATCAAAAATTCGAATCGCGCATCCTTAAAAAAGTTGACGACCATACATTTGATTTTATATTGTATCATACTATCTCTAAACTCATTTAACCGAAACAGACAATCATATCAAAAGAAAAATGACACGAAAAATGAAACACAAAACGAGTCGGTGTCATCATATTAGTTTCTACATTTAAATTAATTTATTTGTGGAAGTTTTGATTTCAAATTGTAAGGATGTTTTTCGTCTCCGGCTCAGGTCTTTCTACACACACTACTCACATACACCACTCTAGGGGAAGCTATAGCACACCTATTCTCTTTACTCTCTTCTTCTAACCACAAAGGAACTCACACAAGGAGGAAGAAGGAAGACACTGCTCCTGGTTATTTTCTCGCAGGCTTATTTCACAAAGAAGGGGGGAGTGTTGACTTATAGTAGGCTGTCAGCCTATGGGCAGACAACAAGGACAGTCACAAGATGGCCAAGGACACTCACGGGTATAAGCCAAGCCAAGAGAAGGGTGCAGCGGACAGCAAACAGTGGGGCTGACTCCAGGTAAGTCAACAGGTATATAATTGATCAGATAATATACCAAGATAAAAAGGTGTCAAAGAGGGAGTAAATTAATAGGGTGCAAGTCTCAGCTAATAAAGTGGAAGGGAGGCATTGGTAGGACCAATACCTCCAACATTCTCCACCTTATTGGTCCTAGGTGGTGTAGAGTAACAATACAAGGTTGTGACAAGACTCATCATCGCCAAGTCACCCGGAATATCAAAAGAAAAAACGGGCAAATAGTTTATTACGCAACCCACAGTTATCAACAATCAAAGTTTAACACGCGTTTACAGGACAAGTGCTTCTCAGCAGAAAGACACTTGGTACCCATATCCGCGGGGTTAAACTCGGACGGGATCTTGCACAGCTTGACTCCACCTGCATCAACAATATCACGTATGAAATGGAACCTAACATCAATATGCTTAGTTCTATCATGAAATACATGATTTTTGCAAAGTTGGATAGCCGATTGGCTATCCGAGAAAATGGTAACTCCCTTTTTTAGAAACCCAATTTCGGAGACAAGGCATTTGAGCCAGATGGCTTCCTTAAACGCTTCTGTGGCTGCAACATACTCGGACTCAGTGGTAGAAAGGGCCACAATAGGCTGTAGTTGAGACTTCCAACTAATGCAAGAGCCACACAAAGTAAAAACATAAGAAGTGGTCGACTTCTTGTTATCTCTATCGTTTGCATAGTTAAAATCAACATAACCAATCAATTCAATACCACTAGCACATTTAGAGAAAATTAATCCATGCTTCACAGTAGAAATCAGATATCTAAACAACCACTTAAGAGCATTCCAATGGGGCAAACCAGGGTTGGACATATATCTACTCAAGCAACTAACCGCATATGCAATATCAGGTCTAGTGCTAACCTATGTTGTAAAATCCGGACCGGAGAGTGACCAGGCCACATGATTGGGTCACGGGTCCACCCGGACCCGGTGGGTCAACCCGGTCAACGCCGGAAAACCGGTCAATGATTATACGTCTATATAATAATAGTAAACATATAATTATATATAAAATTATAATAAAAATTAGTTATTCTTCATAATAATCAACTTACAATAGTACTTATTAAGCATTTAATACACTCTTATAATATTTCAATGTATATTTTGATCTTATAAAAATATATAATGATTTTTTTATTTTTATTGTACATCTATATTATAATTTGGCATGAGGTTCATTCTTAAATAAATATATAAATATATTACATTTTTTTTATGGAAATATAAATATATTACATAGTTTTTCTTTTTAAGGTATTGAAATTGCAATTTTATTGGAATAAAAAATGCATTAAAAATAAAAAAGAAATTACTTTTTTTTGGTAAAAAACACCCAAAAACTGGGTTTTACTGGGTTTTTTCGGGTTTATTGGGTCCGGGTCTTGACCGGGTTTTCCCGGGTCAGCCGAGTTTTTCCGGTTTTTTACCATTTCCGGGTTTTGAAAAAACCGAACCGGTTTTTTGTCCGGGTCACCGGGTTCTGGGTCAACCCGGCCGGGTCGGGTCGGTTTTTTAAACATAGGTGCTAACCATAAGATACATCACCGACCCTATTGCACTGGAATAGGGCATAGATTTCATTTTCTCAATTTCAGGAGCAGTCTTGGGAGACTGATCCTTACTTAACACAAAGTGAGATGCCATAGGGACATTAACAGGAGAAGCAGATAACATATTGAATTTACTCAAAACTTTTTCTATGTAACAAATCTGATTCAAAGTAAGAGTACGCTTACTCCTATCCCTAACAATGTTTATGCCTAGGATCCTCTTGGCATCACCTAGGTCTTTCATGGCAAAATTCGCACAAAGGCATTTTTGCACATCTTTAATAGCATTCAGAGAAAGACTAATTATCAGCATGTCATCCACATAGAGTAACAAAAATACAGGCACAAAAGAAGTTTTTTTGAAATACAGGCAATGATCACAAACAGATTTTTGGAACTTCAAAGATATCATGCATTTATCAAATTTGATGTTCCACTGCCTAGGGGATTGCTTCAGGCCATACAAAGCCTTCCTAAGCAAACAGACATGCTCACTTCTCTTGGGATCCACAAAGCCCTCAGGCTGGGTCATATAAATTGCTTTGTCCAATTCACCATGCAAAAATGCAGTAGTTACATCCATTTGTTTCATTTCCCAGTCATGGTGAGCAATTAAAGCAAGCATCATACGAATAGTGGTGAATTTAACAACAGGAGCAAAGATTTCTGCATAATCTACCCCCTCTTTTTGAGTAAACCCCTTCGCAACCAACCTAGCCTTAAACCTAACATCAATAGGTTCTTCCTTAACCTTAAACAACCACTTACACTCAACTACCGAACAGTTGGGAGGTCTAGGTACAAGGGTCCAAGTCTGGTTCACTCGCAAAGAGTCCATCTCACTTTTCATGGCACTAATCCATTTCTGAGACTCTTTGGAACCTAAAGCTTCACGGTAGGTCTTGGGTTCATTCAGCTCTAGGGATTCAAACACAGAAAATGCAAACATAGAAGTATCATGCACAATGAAAGCATAATCAGGCATACTATCAACAGTTCTCCTGATAGCCCCTTCTACTCCTATCTCTAGCAAGTTGATAATCATGCAAATTATCACTACTAGGATCCACATGCAACTCATGCAAATTATTGTTATCATGAAAATCAGATTCAGCACCCATATCATGCAAATCATGCTTAGTATCATGCAAATGCTCCACCTCACTCGAGGTGGTGGGACTATCATGCTCAGAGGAATCAGAATCATGCATAACAATATCATCCGTAATAATAGGATCAACAGATAAAGGACTAGCAGCAACAGGGACAGACTCCACCTCACTAGGAGTACTATCAGACCTAGACTCAGGATTAGAAACACACTCGGTCAAGCAAGGAAAATCAGTTTCATTAAACACCACATTTCGGATAAGGACCACCTTAAAGCCTACTTGGTTCCTATCCCATAACCTGTAACCCTTTATCCCCTCTGGATAACCTAGGAAGACACATTTCTTAGACCTATGATCCAACTTGTCACCCTGTTGATGTGCATACGCTGCACAACCAAACACCCGAAGGTTAGACAGATCAATAGGCTTACCGGTAAAGACGGTTTCAGGACACTTACCACCAAGAGGGACAGACGGGGACCTATTAACCAAATAGGCAGCTGTAGTAACTGCTTCACCCCAGAATTTCTTAGACAAACCAGAGGTAGCTAACATGCTTCTAACCTTATCCAACAGAGACCTATTCATTCTCTCTGCTATCCCATTCTGTTGGGGAGTATAAGGCACAGTTTTGTGCCTTTTTATCCCACAATCCACACACAACTTATCCATCTCCTTATTACAGAACTCTAACCCGTTATCGGTCCTAAGGGTTTTAACCTTCCTGCCAGTTTGGTTTTCAACTAGGGTTTTCCACTCCCTAAAC